TAACCAATAAAAATCCTTTGGAAACTTACTTTATCTCAACTGCCAAAGGATATATGCTGGCAATCATGCTCCAAGCTTATGCCCCCTGATATACAACTGAAGGGTCTCATGACAGGTTTTACTAAGTGGTAATAAATGGTGTTTTCTTAACAGAAGCTAGCCCCTCAAGGTCCTGGAAACCTTGCTTCCAAAATTCCTTAAGACTTACATTGTCCCTGACCCTTTCCCAACCTTAGGGTATATAATCAGTTCCCTGTCACAACCCCAGCGCAGCTCTTTCTGCCCTCGGGTCACATTCCCGTGCTCTAATAAAATCACCTTTTTGCACCAAAGACATCTTTAAGAATGCTGTCTTGGCTGTCAGCTCCCACCCACCCCCCTCCAACTTTCACCCCAAAACCTCATCAGTGTTCATATCTTATTCCTAAACTGGCATAGCCCTGGTTAAATTGTTAGGTATTTCTTGGCAAGAGGGTAGTTTTCTAAAAATCCCAAACTACAAAATTGAAGTTGATTGGACTTTGGTAATTTTCAGTAGAATATAACGGGTACTACAGATTAGCAAAATATCCGTCCAGAAAATGTCTTAATCTTGAGCATCTACCATATGCCAAGCTTTCAGGTAAGTGCAGTGGGAGGCGTCCAATCAAGCAGGATCTTCTCCGCACTGTGCGGGAGATACTATGGGCAGCGTGAACAACGCATATGCCATACCGGCAGAAAGGGCCAAGGCCATAGAAGAGTAAGATGAGGTGTAAGATTTCAGACAAGGGGTAATTCAGCTTGGGGGTAGACTGGGGTTAGGGAAAGCTTCTAGGAAGATGTGAGAAAATGGTAGTTTATTTACGAACATGTTTGGTTTCAAGAGATCAGTGCATCAAAAGACAAATGCATTTGTTCATAAGTCTCCATGAGGGTTTTAATTCTAGATGCATTCCCAGAATGTTAAATAGAAAGAAGTACGAATTGATTCTTTGGAGCTTTAACACCAGGCATAGTCTTCTCTTGGCTGCTGTATGTTCTCTGACTGCTCTTCCCAAATGGACAGGTTTTAACTTCATTGAAAAATCAGTTAGGACTAATGACCCCCCTCCAGATGATCTCTGTAGGTATCCTAGGGAATGGTTAATCCTTCTATAGCACTCATGAGGTTGCCAATTACTTTGAAATAAATAGATTTGAATAAGCCTTGAACTCTGTCAGAGAAAGCTGAGTATCCCAAGAGCAAAGTGATAAATTTAAGTCAAAACTTTTTTTAACAGTGGTATCCTGAAATCTGGGCAACAGCCACATGCAATTAAGTAATCTGTTTGCTAATGGACCACGGAGCTCATGGAACTTCATTACCTGTACAGTTAACCCCTTGTTTCCTAATTCCTTCCAAAACCAGGAGAGACAATATCAGAGGAAATGGTTAATCCAGCTATGGGAATCTAGGTATCCAAACTAGTGTTAATTCCAAGAAGACATCCTTAAGATAGTTGTCTCAACTTCCTACCCAGCCCTCTCACAACACACACTTGTACACATGCAGAGACAGACACACTATTCTTAGAAGCAATCAATTTGCTCTTACTGGAACCATGAGCACTCAAATTACTTAGATTCTCAATTTACCCAGCTGTAAGGATGAATATAAAAAATTTTTTTAATGTAAGATGATGGGTACAAAACTCATTCTTTTTAAAAACCACTAGGTTCCAGTGATAACTATTTAAAAACTACAAAAGAAAGAGGAATTTCCCTCATAATACCAAGGTAAATTACTTTGCAGTTAAGAATTATTCAGGAACATCTGGGTGGCTCAGTAGGTTGAGCGTGTCCCACTTTGGCTCAGGTCAAGATCTCACGTTTGTGAGTTTGAGCCCCACATTGGGCTGTCTGCTCTCAGCACAGATCCTGTTTCGAATCCTCTGTCCCTGCCCCCTCCCCCGCCCCTCCCTCATACTCTCTGTCTCTCTCTCTCAAAAATAAACATGAAAACATTAAAAAAAAAAAAAAAGAATGGTGCAGAATCCAAATGATGAAAAGTACAAAGATTTAATGAGAGTTTATATGTTCCTGGATGGAAACATATAGTAAAATATCAATGTAAAATTCCGCCCACATGTTTAAAAATTGTAAACCACAATAGTTTAAGTTCTAGCCCAATTAAAAAAAAATTTAATGTTAATTTATTTTTGAAGGAAAGAGAAACAGAGAGTGAGCAGGGGAGGAGCAGAGAGAGAGGGAGACACAGAATCCAAAGCAGGCTCCAGTCTCCAAGGTGTCAGCACAGAGCCTGATGCAGGACTCAAATTCACAAACCATGAGATCATGACCTGAGCTGAGCCAACTGAGACACCCAAGTGTCCTGATTTAAGCATAATTTTGAAAACTATACAACTGTATTGTAAAATTCAATTGGATACATAAACATAAGAATAGCAAATACTTTTAATTATAGAGAAAAAAATGTAAATGACTTTTGAATGTATTAAAAAGATTACTAAATATCTTCAGTGGAAAATTAGGCATCATGTAGGTATCTGATTTTATGAGGTCTCTATACGTTTTATTGTCTTTGAGTAACTTTACAACTCTTGTAAACTATAGATAACTGTCATGGACTGAATTGTGCCCCTCTCTCTCCCCACATTCCTATGTTGAAGCTTTAATCTCCAGTGTGGAGGTTGGGCTTTTTAAGGAGATAGGGCCTTTTAAGGAGATAATTAAGATTAAAAGAAGTTTTAAACGTGGGGTCCTAACCCAATAGGATTGGTGTCCTTATACAGAGGAGAGACACCAGGAGTGTGCACAGAGACAAAAGACATGTGAGGACACAGCAAAAAGGCTTCTTTCTGTCTGCAAGTCAAGGAAAGAGGCATCACCAGAAACCAAACCTGCAGGATCTTAATCTTGAACTTCCAGCCTCCAGAACTGTGAGAAAATAAAATTTCTGTTGTTTAAGCGCCCCAGTCTGGGGTCTTTTTTTATGGTAGCCCTGGCAGACTAATAATAACCAAAAAATATGCAAATGGAGTATATCTAGTGGATGAACATTGATTTCCCTTCTGTGATGGTTAATTTCACGGGTCAGCTTGGCTAGGCTAAGGTATGCCTGCATAGCTAGTAAAACATTGTTTTGGGGCATGTCTTTCGAGGGTGTTTCCAAAAGAGATTCACATATGAATCAGTAGGCCAACTAGAGAAGATTCACTCTCAATAATGCTGTGGGCATCATCCAATCCACTGATGGCCATATAGAACAAAAAGGTGAAGGAATGGTGAATTCTCTCTCTCTCTCCCTCTCTCTCCCTCTCTCTCTCTCTCTCTCTCTCTCTCTCTCTCTCGTCGAGCTGGGACGTCCATCTCCTGCTCTCAAACATTGAAATTCCTTGTTCTCAGGCCTTCAGACTCAGAAGAAGCTAAACCACCAGATTTTCTAGTCCTCAACTTGCAGATGACAGACTATGAAACTTCTCAGGTTTTGTGACTATGTAAGCCAAGTCCTATAAAAATCTCTGATACATCTATATCTATATATCTTATTGGTTCTTATCTCTGGAGAACTCTGATTAAAATACCTCTTCTACCTATGGAATGTATTTGTAAATTCATTTCAGCATTCCTTCTGCCTTGATATGTGTGACTCATTGAATTTTCTTTCAAACCTGTTGTCACATCCTATTGGTTTCCACATTAATTAATGAGATAATATAAACTCTATCTCTTATGAGATAGAAATGTTAATATTCACATTTTGTCCACATGAGAGTCCTGATTTTACATCTTTAAAAAATTATCCTTTAAAATAATAAGAGTAATGAGGAGAAACTTGCCCTCTATAGATACTGAAATGTATTATAGGTTTCCACCACTATCCAAAAGTAATCCATTCCTGTGAAACTTTTCATTAAGTCAAAATGATGTAAAGTGAAGGAGCAATTACTATTAATGTATTGTGGAAAATTTTTGGAGTATTTCCAGACCTAAAAAATAAACATTTAAAGCCTTTTCTTATACCCTAGGACACATTTTGCTAGTACATGCACAAAATAAACAGAGATAAAGCACAGATGCTCACAGAGTTCAAAGCTATGGCAGCTTGTTGCTGAAACTATATTGACTATAGTTTCCAAGAAAGGAGCTTGATGGTACCACTCTGGCTGCTGGGGGTTTGCACGGCTTCTATAATGGCTTGCTACAAAACGGATGCTGAGTGCAATCTTCTCTTTTCACCTTTTTTTCGTGAAAGTGAAAATCATCTTCAGATTCTGTTTAGCTGCTAAAAACAAGTACTAATGTAGGTCTTTCACAAAAGCAAAGTAGCATAAGAACTTTCAAAAAGTGGGGGATATCTGTATAAAACTATTTTATATAAGACATTGAAACTGATGCATGCAGTGATCAAAAGATCAATACAAGGATTAAAATTTCAGAGGTATCTAAAATGATTATAAATGAGCTGCCATGAAAACAATATTTTTAAAATGTTCATGTCAAGGGACACCTGGGTAGCTCAGTCAGTTAAGTGTCCAAATCTTTTATTTATGTATTTATTTATTTATATTATTATTATTATTTTTTAATGTTTATTTTTGAA